CAACGCGCAAAAATCATGCATCTCTCTTTAGTGCAATTTCAAAGTATGGTACCAAAGGGATATACGCCAAAAACTATTCAATCCCCTTGGCATTTCCCAATATCGATTCTTGAATGACTCATTTCCATAACCAGCAACGACCCAAAGCGTTCCTGTTGTTATTAATACCACTTACTGTGTTTCCGCTTCGACTTTACAAGCGCTGAGCAATCCAGGACGTAGCCGAATGTCTCTCGCCGCTTCACGCATACGTTCCTAGAGTATCACAATGTATTAGATGTAATCTCGCTCAAAACGAATAGATACAAACCTGCACGACAGTTCGGCACTCTTTCTGCAACAAACGGACAACCTTCATATTTGTAAGACAAGTAAGCACATTTTCTCCTTGGTTGGGGCAGAATTTGTCAATGTCGTATCTGCATTTCTTCTAAAATAAAAGAACTATTAAAACTGCTTGAAAACCTAATAAGGAATGGATATGATAAACGACATAGAACTGAAGAAAATGGTGCTCACCTGAAGTTCATCATCCATAGTATTATCGGCAGCTTCGATCTTCTCACGATAGAATATCATGGACTTGCATTCAGGACCTGCATATATTTTTTTGATTACCATAGAAGGATAAGAGTATTTGAAAAAGTGACAACAATTTGAGAGCGGCTTACCTAGACCATCGAAGTTGATCCTCAAGCATTCAACCTGTTCTTCAAACGATTCGGCTTTGTCGCAGTTGAACTGACGAATTTCTCGGCCACATTTCTCTGCGAATTTCGGGTCCGCATCGGCCAGGTGCTCCTTGTCATCAAACTAAAAGAAGATGCACAAGCTTTTTGGTATTCGCAAAATTTGCATTGGTTTTTTGGACAATATTCTACGTAAGGGGAGAAAAATAAAAGCTTGGAAGCTAATTCAAAACAAAGCATTTGAGCAGCGAAATACCAAAACACATAAAATGCTTTTGAATAAACAAAATTAGATGGAAAAATATTAGGGTGGCGAAAACATATTTAATAGCAAGTTCTGCATGCATTACTTTCGAACTTTTATAGAACTATAGCAGAAAAACATAAACGCAACTTTGTCGCACAATTTGCTTAAGAGAAGGGTGAAAAGTTAGAAAAAACCTTCCCACAACACAACTCACTTCTACCTGTTCTTGTTGTAGATAGGCGACTTTGAGTTGTTTTTTGCATGGCTCTGATAGATCTGTCTTTGTTCCCAGTACTTTATGCTCAAATCGTACTTCCGACAAGCAACGGATGATCTCTCCTCTAAAATAAACTCCGGGAATGCCTCAGAACAGAACATGAGCGGGAAACCCTTAAAGGCGTTATCCAGGTCCTGGGGAGTAATGGGTTTTTGACGCAGTCTTAGGCCCGCATGCAATAACATCCCTGCGGCGAG